TTAAACACTAGAGGGAAATAATGATAGTCTCTCAAAGTAGTCTTGATTGCTAAAAGTCTACATTCACTCAGTTGCTAAAGTCTTTGGTTTCTCTACCTTTAGAAGCCATAACAAGGAAGCATTTTTTAGAGAGGACAGGATCTCCCAATGATTTGCTGTTTCTTTCTTTTTTTTTTTTTTAAAGCAACTATTGTTGCCCATCCATCCTCTCTGTCAAAGAAAAGTTCAAATCCTTGATTGACCTCTGAGAAAGGAAGAGACCACAAATGGGAGAGAACAGAGGTAAGGAAGAACAGGAAACTCTCCTGACTTAGGGTTAGTGAGCAACGGCTAATGCTTACCCCCCTGGTGTTACTTGTCCTGAACTAGGTCACTGGAGTTATTGCCCACCTGGATATTGACTGGTGCTTGAAAGGCCATGGCTCGGGGCATGCTAGGAAGTGCTCCGAGACGCAGGGTTTTATGTCTCTTATGTCGATCACACAGCAGGCTGTAGATTGCACTATAGTGATCATAGGCATCTGATCTTAATGACTACCAAGAGAGAAGGGAAAAGGGCAAAATACCCCGGTGAAATGGCAGGTCAATGACCAAAACCCTAACAATAATAACATTAGAAGACCAAAGCACCTTCTTTCCTTGGCCCAGGGAGGGGCATTGGAAGAAGAAAGGAGGAAAACAAAGAGACCCGAGTTCCCAGGAGGGTGAAAAACTGGAAAAGGCAGAATAGAAGAAGGACCGCTACATCTGACTTTTGTTCTCCACTCCTATGCCACACTACAGATACCTGTAGTGTCCGCTCTTTATCCAATCCCATGTCTTCCATGGCCAAGAGTACATCTTCATTCAGGGGGTCCGTCTGTCTTTCTTCCTTTAGTTGTTGGCATTCAGCTATCAACTGTAACATAAAAAGAAGCAAGCTATTAAATCTTCAATTAACCATGTCAATATGGCATATCATATATGACTGAGCTGTTCCACGTCCCCTAGCTTGGGAATTTTTTGGCCTCAGACAAATTCTAAGCAAGACAGTGCTGGGTAATCAGCTGTGAACAAACAAAATCCCCTTGTTTCCTGAGCTTCTTGGGGTACCTGGGATGGCTATAATGGTTTAAAATAAAGGTACGCTGCAGAAGCCATTGAACACACTAAGACAAGAAAAAGGAGTCATCCCCATGGTAGGTGAGCTGCAGAATTGCGGGCTGTACTGTCTCAAAAGCTAAAAACAGACTGATTTGGGGACAAATGGTAGGAAACCAGTATCACTAATCTCCAACAACTCAGCTGGGTTTTCATTCCTTCCTGCTTGCTTCACTCGCTGCTGTAGTATTATGCAATAGTTTGTTCCCAGTGCCCACCTTTTCAGGTCATGGCCTGCTTATAATCACATGCAAAAGAGACTACAGTAGCTCTAAGAGGAGTTCCCTGTGGCAAGTATTGCCCAGCTCACCCTGTCAAAGTTGGGATCGGCATCCCCTAGCTTCATCCACTTGTGCTTGCAGATCTGCTCCATTGAGAGGCGCTTATTCGGGTCTAACACCAGCATGTGACGGATCAAGTGCTCGCATTCTGCAACAGACAAACAGCTTGCCTTCAGTATCTGGTGAGGGGAGGCACCAGTGGAGCTGAGGAATTAAGAGGCAAGGCTGGCAGGTGGATTCTCAGGCTCCTTATTTCTAACTCTGTCTCTCTTACTCCTTGCTCCTTACCTATTTCACTGCTTATTCCAGAAGGGGCTGGCAAAGGCACAGAGAGAGAGCGAGATGGAGAAGACAGAAAGGTAAATGTGGTAGTCTGGTTAATGCCTTCACTAAAAGTCTGGCAGAAAATGTCTGGGGATAATCCACGGACTTCATCTATTTAACACAATTAATGAAAAGCAGAATGTCCTCTGAAGAGATTCAGTATCTTACAAGGTTCTCAAAATATTTGGTTCTGTCCGCCTATATGTGCCTACTAATGCTTTTGGCTTAGGTGTGCAATAGCTCTCTTCAAAACTTGGGGAATTTGGCATTTCTGATGGCACAAGGTGTGTGGAGAGAGGCCTAGTCCCAGGCTACCTCTCTACCCCACTCTGGGATTCGGCTAGCCTTATATCCCATTTTCTCAATGTTATTTAAACATTCACAGGCACATAATACTGGGATGTGAGGTAGTGATTCAGATAAAAAACAATGGATTCAAAATCAAGAAAACTATATTCTGATTTCAAAACCACCCTCTTTCTAAGTTTTCTCATCTGTAAATTGGGGGTACTGAGGATGATGTGGGAGTAGGAGTTGTGATGAAGGTGGTGATGATGATGATAATACAGCTATTAACACATTCTTCTGAGCACTTTACAATTATTACTATCTCATTTAATCCTCAGCAATCCTACGAGGAAGGAATATACTATCATCATTCCCATTTTAGAAATGGTAAAAATTAGGCACAGAGAAGTTAAGAACTTTAAAGGTCACAAGGTTATTAAGTCAGATTTCAAACCAGTTTTTCTTTGTGGGTTTTTTTTTTGTGGTGTTTTTTTTTTTTTTTTTGGCGGCTGGCTGGTACAGGGATCTGAACCCTTGACTTTGGTGTTAGTACGCCACACTCTAACCAACTCTGAGCTAACCGGCCAGCCCCTACCTGGTGCTCTTAACCATCATGCTATACCGCCTTTCAACTGCACAGAGTTGTTGGGGGATCCAGCCAACTTTGGTGTTAGTACGCCACACTCTAACCAACTCTGAGCTAACCGGCCAGCCCCTACCTGGGGCTCTTAACCATCATGCTATACTGCCTTTCAACTGCACAGAGTTGTTGGGGGATCCAGCCCCTGAACCATTCATTCAACATCTTCATCCAAGCCACCATTATCTCTTGCTTAGCCTACTGGGAAAGTCTTCTGACTGGCCTTTCTGCTTCCACTCTTGCTCCATTACAATCTATTCTCCATACAGAAGCTAAAGGGATTTTTCTAAAACACAAATCTGGGAATACCACTCTCTTGCCTGTAACTCTCCAATCGCTTCCCATAACCCTCAGAATAAAATCCAGAGTCCTGGGCCTTCAAGGTCTCTGCCTTCTGCAGGCCTGCTGTGACCTCATCTCCTGCCATTCTGGCCTTCTTTCCAGCCTTTGCACGTTTAACGCACCCCCTCCTAATGGCCTTTACACTTGCTCTTTCCTTTAGCTGGAATGGTTACTCCTCAGATTTTCACATGGATGGCTCCTTGTCATTCAGGAAGGAGCTTAAATGTCACTTCCTCAGCAAGCTCTTCCCTGACCACCGACTCTAAAGCAGGCCTCCAGTCCCTCTATATTATGTCACACTAATTTTTTTCACACTAATAATTTCTATGTGAACTCACCTTGTTTATGTATTTACTTATTTACTGTCTAACCGCCCCCACCCAAACAATGTAAGGCCCATGTCTTTCTTACTGCTATATTCAGCATCAAATCTCCAATACCCAAAATGGTTATTACACCTAATAGGAGTTGAAAAAAATATCTAGTGAATATATAAATAAATATTTATTGAATATTTATTCTAATCAAATGAGATCATATCTGTGAAAATGCTTTTTAAAAATATAAAATTCTCTATATGTTTTAAAATTTTATCTTTCTATTACAACTGTCCTAAAAACAAAACTGGCCAGTGAAAATAGCATGAACAGTAATACATTATTGCTCATTTTAAAAGACTTATTATATACCAGGCACAGTGCTTACCAACATTATTTCATTTAATCTTCACAACAACCCTAAGTTAGATGCTATTATTGGCCCCATTTACAAATGAAGAAGAAATGAGATTTTGAAAAGTTAACATACTCAACATCACAAAGTAAAGGCAAAGCTGGGACTTCAAAGCTATGCTTTTGACTACCCTATATATCTTCATGTGGATATGAATTCTGTTTGATCTCTTTTTCTACGGTGAAATCAACTCTGCAGTTTCTATACTGCTTGTCAAACACCATTCTATATCACTGTCTTGAAAGGAATACTAAGAGTAATTAAAATAAATCATTCTTAATTTTAATTTATTCTAACTTTAAAAGAAAATACAACAAAGCCAAGTCCCTATATAAAAATAATTTTATATCAGGCATCAATTTGTTCTTGCTTTATGATTAAAAGTATATTCAAATGCAGTGTAGAGCTGAAAGACTATACTTCCCACATTCCATTAAGCTTTACTAAAATTATGTTTCCAGAGTAGCAAGTCTAGACCCCACAACTGTAGCATCTATATGGATTATAAATATCATTAGCACACACATTTATGGACTGCAAGTACCTGAGAGGAAAAAAAATGTTCTTAATTTAGAAAGTTGCTAAAGCTAAAGACCCTTCTATAGAGAGAAGGCCCGGTCTGCTTCAAATGTTGTAAAATTGTTGTGAAGGCCTCTAGATGGCACTCTTCTATTTTCCTTTGGTCTCCACACACAATTTAGTGCATAAAAACAGATGACCAAGGCCAAGTCACGTTCAGCTATGGGCTTACTTTAAAACAGAGATTTTTTTCAAGGCAAACAAAAAACCAATACTACCATAATGAGTCCTAATTAAAGATGTATCTTGTTCAGTTTCAGGATCTTGAAACCTCTATTCAGTTATCCTTAACCATTATTTGGCCTCAGATGCCTTACAAAATACCCAGATTCACACAAGAATTTATACACAAAAATTTGCATATAATTTTAGACTGTTCAAGGAGCCCAAGAAGCTTGCCATAGATTCCCCCATATGTCTACAGGACCCAGATTAAGAACTCCTGGTTAGTGTCAATACCTCAAGGACAAGAGCTTTTATCTTGTCTATCCAACATAATATCCAACTTGCTAAGGAAAAGAAATCTAACACTTTTCATATGTTGCACAGATGGTAAAATATGAAAAAAAGCAGAAAGCTAGAGTATCATCCTCAACTCATACTTCCTAAGTGTCATATAGCTCATGAAATAAAATTCAAACATGATTTGAGCACACTATTCTACATAAAATATGGAAAGAGGGTGAAAATGAAGGGGATAAGGGCTCTCAAACCTAACAGTACAGTCTACCACAGGACTATCCATTTTAAAAAGTGGAAGGTAAGATGGGGCCTAAGATCAAAGCAACTTTTCCACAAGATGCCAAAGAGTGCTCTATTTTAATGTCTAAAATGGCCCCATCACTTATTCCCTCCCGAAAGGCAGAGCCTCCGATGCTAAATGAAGCTAAAGCACTTTGGGCAATACAGGAATATGCTGCTCTGCCTGTGTGTGCCAGGGAAGCAGCTTCCCTTCAGAGGCTGCTTTCATCTGCTCTGTGCAAGACGCCAAGCGGTGTCTGCAGTGAAAATCACAGTGGGCCCATGAAACTTGATATGCCAACAGAATGTTAACTAGAGGATGCACTACACAGGCCCTGCCCCGCTGGACTGACAGGCATATGGAGGACTTGTTGGAGACAGAGCTGCTGTAGGGACAGGGTCCTAAAATGAAAATTAAGTTGAGATTGCCAGTGTGACTCCATCTAAGAAAAGGATGCACTACACAGGCCCTGCCCCGCTGGACTGACAGGCATATGGAGGACTTGTTGGAGAGAGAGCTGCTGTAGGGACAGGGTCCTAAAATGAAAATTAAGTTGAGATTGCCAGTGTGACTCCATCTAAGAAGGCAAGATCTTTTTCCTTTTTTTGTCTTTGATAATAAACAACTTTCTCTAGGAGGTTGAAAGTATTCGGCCTAAGGGGGAAAATATAAAGGAAAGGGGGGAGGGAAATTAGTTTAATAGAAGCTGTGCCTATGGTTTCCAGACTAGAAGAAGAAGAAATAAAATAACTTAAGTAAGAATTTCCTGATTAAAAACCTTGAAAACATGGCACCTGCAGACAAGTGGAAGGCAGTGACACTGACTTATCTTGGAGAAGAGAAGGCGTGGGCAGGAAGGGGTATGCTGGGTGTTCTTCAAGTATCCGAAGAGTTTTTGCAAGAAGACAAAGTAGATTTACACTGTGCAGTCCAAGGGCCTGAATTCGTGATAATTAGGAAGTTACAAACTCAGTACAGGAAAAGATCTTTTTAATTATCTGTGCTGATTTGATACACTGGATCAGGGCCCTAGGTATCTGAGGAGGAGACCCTTAGGGAAGTCAGAGGGGGCAGGAAGGCAGGCAGGGCCACACCTGGGGCACAGCTAATTTTACTCATTTTATAGACTGATGTTCTGCATAAGATTTTACTTGAAAAAATAAGTCCAGAAATAATTGGGTAGGATGAACTCCTTGGTCCCGCCAACACCAAAACCATGTAACTGTGAAAAGGAAATAACTTATCCTATGAAGCAGTGAGCTTATTGTCACTATAAATGTTTATTCTGAGGCTGGCATCTGTGATGACACTGGAAGGGCTCCCAGCCCAGGCATCAGGAAGACTGAGAGTCCTTCAAGGATGGAGGCTGTGTCTTACAGAGTTGTATACCCCCAGAGCCTACTATAATACCTGACATGTAATAGGCCCTCAAATGGCAGTTGAAAGAAACACTGGGCCCTCTCCCACAATTCTTTGTGCTCTCCCTTTCCAACTTGGGCCCAGCAGAATGGCTCCTGCAAAGAAGGGTGGCTAGAAGAAGGGCCATTCTGCCATCAACGAGGAGTTGACACCATCAGCATTCACAAGCGTATCCATGGAGTGGGTTTCAAGAAGCGTGCCCCTTGGGCATGCAAAGAGATCCAGAAATTTGCCATGAAGGAGATGGGGACTTCAGATGTGTGCACTGATACCAGGCTCAACAAAGCTGTCTGGGCCAAAGGTATAAGGGATGTCCCATACTGTATC